CCAGTTCTGTACGTCGACAACAAGGCCATGGTTGCCTTGTGTCAGGAGCAGAGACTGGAGCATTGAACGAAGCACATTGCCCTTCGTTACTTTCTCGTGCGAGAGTTGCAGCAGCGTGGTCAGCTTCGCGTTGCTTACGTAGCCTCACAGGCCAACGCTACTGATATCTTCACCAAGGCCCTTGGGTCTGGTGATCATCAGCGTTTAATGCTTGTGCTATTATAACACTTCATGTGAACTGGCCTTGTGGCTGCTTGCTTGTGCTCGGACTGCGTGGTGATCTTGAGATCGACACTGAGGTTTGTTTTGTTTCTTCTTTTGACTGGTCTTCTGACCGTGTGTCAAACTATAGATTCATATATTGTTAGGCTGTAATGAGGCTGGCCTTAGGGGGTACGCATATTTCGGGTTTCCTACTTGTACTCCTCACTTGTTAGTTCACATCATCTTGTTGCCTATACTTCTTCACACATCTTCGGTTCCATACACAGCTTGACCATGTTCCAAAAAGTTTTGAGATATATATTTATATATTTGCAAGCTTTATTGGGTTACTCTTTATATTGTACGGTTTTGGTATTTGTGAATTTTGTATGCCCTCATTTTAGACATTCCTTCTCTGTATGAGCCTTGCCCTACACTGTCATGTCGTGGTGGTGGATCAGTCCTTGTGGGTATTTTTTTTTTTTTTTTTTTTTGTTATTATTGACATTGTGCGTAACAGTGGTGATTTTGTTATAAAAAAATGATTAATTTTCGTGCAAATACTAGATATTTTACTTGTGACCCTTTAATGGTTAATTCAAAAGATCCATATTCATTGCATAATGTGCATTCTAGGTCATTGGGGTGTATTTTTTGAGGCCTTCATGGGATAGAAACGTTGTCTAAAAGCTTAGCGAGTCAATATGTGACGAATCCATTCTCGAGAGATTGAGTGTGGTAAGAGTGGTTGGTTACTTAGACAGCGGAGGTTTTGAGAGGGTTTACCACATGATAACCAGCACTACCAGACCGCCCAAGGAGTTGGAAAACGGGAATCGCCACATCGACAAGTTTAGCGAGGAGCTCCTTGACGGCGCGACAGCAGTTTCGCAAGTACACGTGGCTTGCGACAAATCAAGGCTCCCGATGGAACCAATTTAACGTTCCGAGCCGAGCCCAAGCCACACCACCCAGGCCAGCAGCAGGCTGCACCCTGCTTCCAGACCTAGCCTTGAGATTCGAGGTGCGGGTCATTCGAGATTCTGCCTCCACCCAGCTCTGATGCTTTGGCCCTCCTGGTTCATTAGACATCTTCCCCTCCAAAGCGGTTCATTTTTGGAACTTCAGGTTTCAGGGCTCTCGTTAGCCCCCTTATCCTATCACATCTCAGATTCCTTCTTCCCCATCAGGTACGCACTACACGTATTTTATGGTTAACTGGATTGAGGAATTGCAAAGAAAACATGCTGTATCGACTCCGCACAAGTTTGCCTGCCGTCCTGTACGGTTGCTAGATTAGGTTGAACTCGAGAGATCTGACACATATTCCTTTTAAACCCCCCTTGTCCTTCAGTTCAGCACCATGGGTAAGGAAAAGTTGCATATCAACATTGTCGTTATCGGCCATGTCGACTCCGGCAAGTCGACCACGACTGGTCATCTCATCTACAAGCTGGGTGGGATTGACAAGCGTGTGATTGAGCGTTTCGAGAAGGAGGCCGCTGAGATGAACAAGAGGTCCTTCAAGTACGCCTGGGTGCTGGACAAGCTCAAGGCCGAGCGCGAGCGTGGTATCACCATCGATATCGCTCTGTGGAAGTTCGAGACCAACAAGTACTACTGCACGGTCATCGACGCTCCCGGCCATCGTGATTTCATCAAGAACATGATTACTGGAACCTCGCAGGTCAGTTGATTGTGCTCCATCGTTATTGTTTGGAGATGATGGTTTTTTTCTGTCTGATTCCGTGAGTACCCGATCTCACAATTATTTTGGCATGATATTACAGGCTGACTGCGCTGTTCTGATCATCGACTCCACCACTGGTGGTTTCGAGGCCGGTATTTCCAAGGACGGTCAGACCCGTGAGCACGCTCTGCTGGCGTTCACCCTTGGTGTGAAGCAGATGATCTGCTGCTGCAACAAGGTAAGCCTTAATTTACGGCCTGACATCGTTTTTGCGTAACATCGGATTAACATTTCTAGCGTAATATATTATTTCCTGGCCATTCAGTTCCCAATTTTCAGCTCTCATTACACATCACCGATCTGGGTTTTGTGCTAACATAAATACCCGTTGCCTTGTCCCAGATGGATGCCACTACCCCCAAGTACTCCAAGGCTCGTTACGAGGAAATCGTGAAGGAAGTGTCGTCGTACCTGAAGAAGGTCGGTTACAACCCCGACAAAATTCCCTTCGTGCCCATCTCCGGTTTCGAGGGTGACAACATGATTGAGCGCTCCACCAACCTGGACTGGTACAAGGGCCCCACCCTGCTGGAGGCTCTGGATCAGGTGTCCGAGCCCAAGAGGCCGTCCGACAAGCCCCTGCGTCTGCCCCTTCAGGACGTGTACAAGATCGGCGGTATCGGAACAGTCCCGGTCGGTCGTGTCGAGACTGGTGTGCTGAAGCCCGGTATGGTTGTGGTGTTCGCCCCCAGCGGTCTGACCACTGAGGTGAAGTCGGTGGAGATGCACCACGAGTCTCTGCCCGAGGCTGGCCCTGGCGACAACGTTGGCTTCAACGTGAAGAACGTGTCGGTGAAGGAGCTCAAGCGTGGCTTCGTCGCCTCCGACTCCAAGAACGACCCCGCCAGGGAGGCTGCCAACTTCACCTCGCAGGTCATCATCATGAACCACCCCGGCCAGATCGGCAACGGCTATGCGCCTGTGCTGGATTGCCACACGTCCCACATCGCCGTGAAGTTCTCTGAGATCATCACCAAGGTGGACAGGCGTTCCGGCAAGGAGCTGGAGAAGGAGCCCAAGTTCGTGAAGAACGGTGATGCTTGCTTCGTGAAGATGATTCCCACCAAGCCCATGTGCGTGGAGACCTTCTCTGAGTACCCTCCTCTTGGTCGCTTCGCCGTGCGTGACATGCGACAAACAGTGGCTGTCGGTGTCATTAAGAGCGTTGAGAAGAAGGATCCCTCTGGGGCCAAGGTCACCAAGGCTGCTGCCAAGAAGAAGTAAGGTGGTGCATCATCTGATTGGGTGCGCTGGGGGGTCGCTGTCTGGGATTGCTGAGAGCTTGCGGCTCATGGCATGGCGATCTTGCTAGATGGGTTAATTGTGTAGTTTTATAGTTCAAACCCAGATGGACATGTCAATGGTTGCCATTTTTGCAACAATTTTGTTGAAAGAAAGGTGTTGCCATAGCTGTCCGCAGGCTGACCGACGTAGATTGAAGCCGCTTAAGGATTTTAATTCTACGCATCTATGGAGTTCTAATCTGATTATTCAGACTGCGTGATTGCGCCTACATTATTAGCAGTTCGGCATCACTGGAACAAGGTACATCTACGTCTGCGACTCGACTGCAGGTCGAGGAAGGTTGGTGGTAGTGAGACGGGTAGGTGGGGAAATGGCTCAGACTGGACAATGTAGTCTTCATGCTCTGGCACTAGTGACACCAATGATTCCTTGCGCGCTGCACGATAGCTGTAGTGCTTCTTCGCCAACATTCGCAAAAGCACGGGTCTTCCGTGGCAGGCCTTGATTCTAGGTAGGGGTGGCATGGCTGAAGCTTGTGGCGGGTGCGGGTCGCCTGTCAGGCTCCAGGTACTTGATTCACCTAGGTCTACGCCAGTATCGACAGTTCTCTCGGAATTGCCGTGAGGTCTTGAAACAGAGATGTGTTCGCATAAATTTGCCTCGGCGTATCCATGATTCAAGCTAGATGCGACGCCATCAAAGAGCGGGACATCAGCAGCATCACTATAAATTGTAACTGGGCCATTGAACTTGCCAGAAGATGCCAATCTACTGGCATCATTATTAGACGTCGGACACCTGTATGTCGTCGCCATGACGATCAAGCCCTGGAAAGAATCGGAGCTCTTTCGTTTCAAAACAATGTCTTGATAATGTTGGTGGCAATTCATGCTATCGCCCTGTATGCTAGTGCTTGGTGCTATGGATGCGGAGGTAAGGTTTGAATGAAGTGGGGAAGGAGAAGGAAGGTACTCTGTGTCGTAGGCGTGACTGGATGTTCGCCTAGGAAAATCATGCGATGAGGGTGCCATGGGGTCGACTGAGAATCTAACGGGCGTGCAAAGAAACCAAAGAATCGGAGTCACTGGTATCAAGCAAAGTGTGAGTGAAGTCCCGAACCGCGGCACAAGAAACCATGGTGAAGGTGATCCATCTGCATTCACGGGAATGCATGGAGGAAGCACCCACACAAGTCGAGGAGGGCATGGGAAATGGCGTAGCGTGCAATGCACGAGAATGCGAGCTCCGCGAGGAGTCATGTCACGAGTCATGACCACTCGCCAGCACCAGTTTTCCTGCTCAGTTGTCAACTTCCTATCCCCCCAACCACAAGCGCAGGAAAAAAACTGTGTTCACCATCGTCCCAGCTGCAACACCACACACCATCTTCGGTTCTGTTCGGTTCGGTAAAGTATGAGATGTGTCTGTATTGTCATAAATTATATACAATAGTAAGTATATCAGCATACATTTCTTTCCTTTGTTTCAATAAGAGGGCATGAATGAGGCAAATGTGACAATGAAAGCAAGCTAGACTCATTTGCATGTGAGAAGCGAGGAGAACGGGCTGCGGTGGTGCATGAAGGGGGGCGTGGAAAGAATGTCTTGAGAATTAGGCGCTCCAGCGTGGGCGGATCCAAGCGGAAGGTGGGAGAGTCGGGCAACCAGTGCCTGGAAAACGGCAAAAGGAGAACAAAGTGGGATGATTTAATACTTATTTTGTGGCCCTTGTGCGTGTACAAAAGAGGTAAAGTATTCTGTGCATATGCGTGCGCATATACCTCACGGGATAATGATGAGCTTACAAGTGAGGGTCGACAAAATCGCTATAGACGGATTCAATGTGAGCGGCCCATCTCTTGCGCATTGCAACTCGGCAATCGTCGTCCACTATTGGCCAGGAGAGCTGCTGCAGCGAGAGGGACTCAAACTCCTTGTTGAATTCGGAAAGCCTGGGGACATGGGTGAAAAGAGTGCAGAAAATGTAATTACAGGAGGGGGGTAATTTGCATCATTCATAATCCAATAATCCAATTCCCCCCTCACCTTCCCGGACGCCTCACCTCTCTTCCACATGTCGTTGGCTCATCTTCAGGCTCTTTTCGGGGGATGGCAGCGCCTGCAACAGCTGTGGTACCCTAGCACTAGCTCACCTTCCCCTTCACCATCCCACCTCTCCCCCCACCTTCCCGTTCGCCTCACCTCTCCTCCACGTGTCGTTGGCTCATCTTCAGGCTCTTTTCCGGGGATGGCAGCGCCTGCATTAGCTGTGGTAAAAGAGAGACATGGGGATGCAATAACAAGGGTCAGAGGAAAGCATAGAGGGCGAGAGTAGGGGTGGAAGAGATGAATTTTGAGGCGCCTCTTAAGGGGTTAGGGGAAAATACAGAGGGGCGTGGAGGAGGAGAACATAGAGGAGGGGGGCCAGGGATGGTTGAGATGGAGGGATGAGAGGGTAAGGCAGGGGAGTGGAGAGGGGTTAAGGAGGGTTGTGTAGGGCAAAGAATTAGGAATGCTGGGAGGCCTGGGAGGACACTGGAAGAGGAGGTGAGGTGGGTTAGATAGGAGGTGAGGTATGGGATAGATAGGAGGTTAGGTATGGGTTAGATAGGAGGTGAGGTATGGGTTAGGGAGCCAGCAGGAAGGGGAGACATTGAGGCAAGGTGCGCCATCTGGGCCTACTTGCCATGTGTATGCCACATCAGCATGGCTCACTCACCTTCCTGGTATCTGCGACTCACCCTCCTGGTAGCTGCGAGCAGGAAGGCCTGTGAGTGGTCCTCCACCGTGGCTGACACAGGGCTGATCGATGGGAAGCGCTGGCAGGCTCTGATTGGTCAGGAGATGGAAAGGGAGGTGAGGGGGGATGAGGAATGTTAGGGGCCGAGAGTGTTGCAGAATGGTGCACAACAGTGCAGAGCTAACGACATCTGCGAGCGAGACCCCACTGCAGCCGCCCGCCATGGGAGTGAGTGGTAGAAAGCGCTGGTAGGCCCTGATTGGTCAGGGGATGGAATGGGAGGTGAGGGAGAATGAGGACCGTGTGAGTCACGCATGGAAAAAGCGTTGCAAAACGGTGTAAAACGGTGCAGCACGGTGAAGAGCAGTCAAGGTCCTGAACAAGAGACTCTGTTGATGGAAGCGCTGACAGGCTCTGATTGGCAGGTGAAAGGGATTGGGGATGGGGATGGGGTGTATAATGGCGACAAGTCACTTCTGAGTCGGCTAGAAAAGCGGGACCCAGGAGGGACCCAGAGCAAAATAATGATTGCAGTAATAACGCTGTGTCACTAGATGCAAAAGGAAGGAAGAGGCAGTGAAAATCACTACAGCGGTTTCTGTTATGAAGCATATAAAACCTGGAGGCATGTGTTGGAGGTATGATGTGATGGCTTACTGCTGGATGACGCATGCGTTGTTCAGCATGAACAGTGCCCTGGTGACGTCATCATCACATGCAGCCGCCTTCCCCTCCACAACCCCCATAAGCGCCCCAATGATTCGTTCAGTCACTCCCGTTATAGTCACACCCTGCTCACCCACTCCTCCTACTCCTCCCCCTCCTCCTCCAAACTCCCTGAAGATGCTTGCCAGGGCTCCTCCGTAGGTTCGGACCGAAGCTGTGGGCGCATCAGGGTCGGGTGGAGGGATGAACGGAGCAGGAGTGTCCCTGGTGATCGGGGGGGATGGGTAGAGCGGTTAGGCGTGGTGTGTGGTGGAGTGAAGGGGGAAAAGAGGAGGGAAATCAGTATGACCAGACAGGCACACTGGATGTGCTAGCAAGTGTTGCGGCAAGTCAACCAAGCCAACCAAGTCAACCAAGCCAACCAAGTCAACCAAGTCAACCAAGCCAACCAAGTCAACCAAGTCAACCAAGCCAACCAAGTCAACCAAGTCAACCAAGCCAACCAAGTCAACCAAGTCAACCAAGTCAACCAAATCAACCAAGCCAACCAAGTCAACCAAGTCAACCAAGTCAACCTATTCAGCCACTATCCCTTCTCACCAGTCACCATAGTCCTCCACATGCTCCACCACGCGCCCCACCATGAGCACTTCCAGTCAATGCAACCACATCTCCACCAAGCAGTACCCACCCCACCCACATGCCCCCCTACTTCCCACCAGTCACCATACTCCTCCACCTGCTCCACCACACGTCCCACCATGGCCACTGGCAACACTACCAACTCCTCCCAACCAAGCAACACCTAGCCAACACATGACAAAAAAAAAACCTCCTCCCTTCTCACCAGTCACCGCACTCTGCCACGTGCCACACCACGCGCACCACACCACTGCATGCGTTACCAGTCAACAAGACCAAGTCAACCAAGTCAACCAAGTCAATCAAGTCAACCAAGTCAACCAAGACAACCTAGTCAACCAAGTCAACCAAGTCAACCAAATCATCACCTCATCCCTCAACCCCGCTCACCAGCAGCCATACTCCCCCACGTGCCCCACCACGCGCACCACCATGGGCAGCGGCTTCGGGTCCCCCTGCCCGCCCACGGGTGAGCTGGCGCGCGGAGAGGCGGGCGGCGGGGACGACTTGCGGGGGGAGAGCAGCGGGGGGGATGCCCTCCGGGGGGAGGCGAGCGGAGTGACCTTGTGGTGGCGCGGTGAGAGGAGAGAGGCCAGCTGCTGCCTGGGGGAGGGGAGGGGAGGGGAGGGGAGGGGAGGGGAGGGGAGGGGAGGGGAGGGGAGGGGGAGAGGAGGGGGAGAGGAGGGGAGGGAGAGAGGGGGAAGGGTTAATGAGCGGCTAAATTGCAAATTTGTAGGCTTATTACAGCCGAGTGGGGTGATTTTTGAGTCGGTTGATTTTTGAGGCGCCTCAATGGCACTACTTGGTAGACTGCTACAGCTGCTTCTTCTGCTGTATGAATATGCGCTCTCTACCTACGTGGTAGAAATATTTGTGCGCGTCGGCACTGCTGCAGCCGCAGCCCTGTCCAGCCCCACAGCCACCCACTGTACACATGAGGCACCTCATTCTGCGTCACCTCATGCATATCGTCTCAAAAATACCTCAAACACAAGTGCTCTCTACCTGGCAGATATCTTCGTGCGTGTTGGCACTGCTGCTGCTGCTGCCGCCCTCTCCAGCCCCACAGCCACCCACTCAAACGCCCCCAGCACGCCCTCCGCCAGGTGCCTTGGGAGCTGCGTCGACCAATCAGACGCCACCACGTGTCCCTTTGGCTTGCCTGCCAGGTATTCTTCGAACTGAGAGGGAGGGAAAATAGAAAAGGTCAAGCTAGTGAGCAAGGTGCTACCATATAATGGTGCACCACATGTCATCATCTAATCAAGTCATCATGTGGTGCATGTCGTGCAACCGTCCGGTGTTTCCAAAAGACCCAGAGACTCATTTCACTCTCTCGTCTGGCAGCATTTGACTCGAGTCCACTCATCTGTTACTCATCTGTTACTGAAATCGAGGAGCTTGCTTACCACAGGGGCAGACCGGCGGGCAGCAACAAACATTTCAGCGAGCAGCAGAGACTTGCGCAGGCTGCCTGGGGGCGAAGAAGGGTCGGCAAGAGTGCGGGCATTGGAGAGGAGATGAGATAAGATGGATGAAAGGGAGATGCTTGCCGCTGCTTCTGCTGCTGCTGCTGCTGCTGCTCTCGTGGGTGGTGCGGTGCTGGTGGTTGTGGCATCTGCTGCTGTGGTGCTGCTACCGTTGTTGCTGCTACTGATGCTGCTGCTGCGGATGCTGCTGTTGAAGCTGTCAGACGCGAATGAGAAGGAGAGGGAGGAGCGGCAGGAATAGAACGAGTCTTGCAACCCACTTCCGATGCCCTCAGGTGTAGCAGCAGCTGAAGCAGCAGCAGGAGGTAAATCTGACCCAGTGCAGGGGCTTGGATGTCCATCCAGATGTGAAGCATTCAGGGCGTCTGCTAGGGTGCACGCCTCTTCTGAAGGTGACGTGGCACGCTGAGAGGGTGACGTGGCACGCTCAGAGGGTGACGAGGCCTGCTGAGAGGGTGAGGAGGCCTGCTGAGAGGGTGACGTGGCTTTGCGCTGTCTAGGACGTGAAAATGAGTCGAGCGGAAGCGTGACGGAGAGGGGTGGGATGCGGGGCGATGGCGATGGTGGGGCAACGTCAGATGGCCCCTCCGCATCTGCCATGCTCTTCATCTCAGCTTGCCGTGCCTCCTCTGCACCACCAGCTGGAGCAGCAGGAGCACCAGCAGAAGCGGCAGTGACGTCATCGTCATTTTGCACCACTGCCATCTGATTGTTGGGGCAGTGGAAAGGGTGTGAACGTGTGAAACACGTGTGTGGGGGAGGGGGTGGGGGGCGAGTTGTCCTCGTTCATTGTAGAAAGATACCCGCATGGAAGTACATTTTTGAGACGTCTCAAAAATCTACTTTCTACACGTGGCAATGTACAGGACACCAACACGCATGCATGTACAAATGGATATACGCCTTACAATGAAAAGAAGGGTGTATCCTACTTTCCCAGCTCCAACCCCTCTGAATTCAACCAAACCCCGTTTCCATCTTCCCCTCCTCCCCCCATACCTACTTTCAAATGCACATCCACACACTCACCAGCATGGCAACTGTTGCTGTCCATTCCTTCATTGCCAGCTCAGCCTGCTCCCACGGCTTCCCCTCCACTGACACGTCAGCATATGCCACGTCAGGCAGGTGGTCCACAACTTTAATGACAGCTGGACGAGGGGAAAGGGTCGAATCACGCCCGCTGCACCTGAAGACAAGGCACATAAGGTGCAGATGGTAACAGACAGAATAACTTTCCTGAGACGTCCCAGAAAAAGTCAGATCATACAATAGAATAAAACAGCCAGTTCACAATGGTAAAAACAACTGAACAGTAACGAATCTTTGCTAACCCTGCTTTTGTTTATGTTGGATACTGTAGTTGTTGAAACTTGTAGCATCTCGAACCTGAACTGGCAAACGCGTTTCGATCTTCGCACGTACCCGTCCATGACGATTTCCCACAGTCCGATTTTCCCCTTTCCATCCCCCGCGCCCCCGTCGATTCCCCCCGTTCTGCCCTCCGCGTCCCCCATCATCCGCTCCACCAGCGCTTGCGCATCTTTCAGCGCAACCAGTGGCGGAAACTTGTGCGCGTTCTGCCGGCTGAACTCGCGCGGAGAACGCGGGCTTGCGGAATCGGCACGGCCCCCCCGGGGCAGCGCCCTGTTCATCATCTCCCCCTTCGCCTCGCGCGCCTCTTCTTCATCCTCCCCCTCCTCCTCCTCCTCCTCCTCCTCCGCCACCAGCGGTTGACTCGCGCAACCCCCCAATCCAAAACCGAGACTGGAATTCATCGCCACTGTTGCGGCAGCGGCGGCGGCGACAGCGGTGGCGGAGGCGGCGGCGGCGGCGGCGGCGGCGGCGGCTCGTTGAGTGGAGCCCGCGGCGGGGGAACTGACCTGCAGATCCGCGGCACGGCGCCACCCAGCGAGACCCAGAACATTGCGGCTTCCGCTGAAGCCGACTCTCCAGCGGGGCGACGCGAGGTCGAGGTACGTTGGCGGCAGAATGGCGGCGCGACTCGCGTCGGCCGCGACAACTGCGCTCAAGGAAAGCGACTGAGGGGAGGCCGAGTCGGGCGACGGGGAGGTGTGATAAGGTGAACTGGCCACTTCGCGGACTTCGCAGCCGTCGCTGCGCTTTTTCGCCAGCATTCGCGAGAGCTTTCGTTGCACGCCGGACGGCGTCGTGTGCAGAGGAAAGGTCAGATCGGGACCGTCAAGGCGCACCAATACGTAATCGGATGCGTCAAGTGGACTAGTACCACTACTCTCGATTATGATATCTGTAGCGGCTGTTATCTGGGTCCCCGACTCGGGGCCGCGCTCATGGTGAGGCGGGTTTGGTTTCCTCGGCGCTTCTACTGGCGGCGCGGTGGCGAAGGAAAAAGAAGGCAGGCGCATGGCTGGTGGTTCTAACGAGGCGCCGTTGCTCTCGGACGGCTGTAGCGGCAAGTTGTCGATAGCGGCGGCGCGGGAGTCTACGCTTGAACCGTTGAAGTCTGCGCGCCGATCGTTTAAGAAGCCCCAGCGATGCTCGTTAATGTCTGCGCCTCGTCGATCATTTAGGACGTCCGCGTCGCGTTGATTGCTGCGTGGGGAGTCGGAGTGCAGGCTGTCGGGCTCGTCTTGGGAATAGGGCGGCGCGGCATCGGATGGGAGAAACACGACGTCGCGGAATGATAGCGACTCCGATTCCGTCGATGACATACTCGGCTGCTTGCGATGCCTCGTCTTGGGAAGGGGGGGCTGCTTCCGATGCCTCGACGCGAACAAGCGAACGATGCCTCGATGCCTAGTGCGACATGAATGACACTGCTAGCTAGACAACCGACAGGCCTGCAATACAATGCCTGCTACCCCTACACTGCTTGGCAATGAGGGCTGCTGCCAGTAAAGGAGCGAAGAGTCGCACACTGCAAAGGCAGGGGCAACTGCAGGGGCAGAAGATACGACGAAGTTGGCTGCTGCAGCGGCGTGGAAGAGGCAGAAGCGCGGACCGGGGCCTGCGGCAAGACGGGTGCTTTGCTGTGGTGAATGGGAAGGGGTGCTTTGCCTTGCCGCAGCTGCTTTGCTCCTGTAGTGCCACAGGGGGGGAGGGGGAGGGGGTGGAATGGGGGGGCGCATTGCATTGCATTGCTTTGCTGCAGCCGTTTTCCTTTCTGGCCATCACACTCACGTTCTGCACTACATGGCGCGCCTCCTCCAGTTACTTTACTGGAACCTGGTTGGCCTGGCCCGTTGCACGCTCCGCAGATACCGTATGTCACGAGTGAGTTATGCGAACCCAGCCCAGCCCAGACAACATCCCAGATCAAACTTGACATCCGCACCACACCACAGGCTCGACAGACCCAGATGAGGTGTTAGGCTCGAGAATGATGTGAAGTGATGCAGCGCAAACTGAAGCTCGTCCGCGACCCAAGAAAGTGCAACTTCCATGTTTAGGGTGCGTAACTTTTTCACTTTCCACCGTCCGGACGGAGGCCCCAACCGGACTTTTGTAGGGTTACTGTTTTCGTCACAATTCGTTTAACGATTCGCAAGACCCCCTGCGACGTCGCTACCGTCCGGACCAAAGCTGACACTTTTCTGCCAAAAAGTGGTCCGGACTACCCTGCTGACACCGTCTGAACGGCATCTCGGACCGTCCGTTTTGGCTGCGCTATCATTGGCGCACGAAGTGGGTGTCAACCACAACCAATACCACGCCGCGAATTTTGTTGTGGCGATTTTTGCGATCGTTGTACTAATTTCGTAGTGCGTGTTACATTTCGTGGTGAATATTATTTTCCCGAAAGTGCAAAAAAGTTTCACATTTGTGGTCCGGACGGGCAGTCGTCCGGACCTGATTCCCAACCGTTCGGACGGAGCTCTGTCCGGCCGGTTTGGGGGCTACGTCCGGACATCTGACCAAAACAGAAAAAATTACGCGCCCTTACTTGAGGCCACATTTCGGGCTCGTAACAGCCTGTTACGAGCAGGTTTGGCCATCGAGCATCCCAGCGGTGGGAAAAATCCAACTCTGTTACGGGGTCCCCAAAGTCCCAAAGCTGTTCGCAGGTTGAAACGTGGAAGGTTGCGCCGCCTGTGCGAGTCATTCTAATCGTCTGTTTCGCGAAAACGATCACTTGTTACTCGAGTACTTCGAATCAGAGCCCAGAATCTAACTCGATACTGACACTGCTTTCCTCACTTCAGCTGTCTTCCTTCCATTTGGGCTTCAGAAGGGTAAACCTCATGGTCGGCATTCTCGCGTCGCCGAGTCATCATGCTTCCTCGTTCGCGGCCCCAAGCACCGGCTCGTCGTTCGCTGTCCGCTCCACCCATGTTTCGATCTCCGCAACAGGACGCTCTCCGCGGGAATTGCCTCGATCTTCCGCCACCGTTGTGCCCTCCACTGCAGCCCATCACGCGCACGCGGGCCCACCACGCGCGCAATGGAGAGCGCGGAGGGAGAGTCTCGATGCACTGACACGTACCAACAGAATTGTTCTGAAACATGACTCGCGGAGTCCGCCACCTAGTAGGTGGTGGGGATTGGCGCATCTTGCCGCCAATCGGGCCTGCAAATTGCTGAAGATCGAGTCGCGCAACCGAATCCTGTTCGAGCCGCACGAGGTGGGGCGGGATGGGAGCATCGAGCTGGCAGCGTCTGATTCGCGCGCCCGCCACATGCGGCGCGTGTTGCGGGCAGGCGTGGGGAAGAAGGTTCGGATTGGCATCGTGAACGGTCCTGCCGGCACCGCTACAGTGAGTGCTCCCGGACGGCACAGTGAAACCCCGTTGGGGGGGGTCGGAGCTACAGTGAGTTATTGTAACAGGAGAATCATCTTGGCACTGCTGGTGCTGCGCCGGCTGTACCTTTCGCTCATGCCCCTCTCCCCCTCCCCTTCACCTCCCCGCTACCAAGCCCCCCCCTCCCCCTCGCATGCCCCCCTGTGCCCCGCCCTCCCCCGCTCTCCCCACCTCCCCCCCGCAGGTTGTGCGCATTGTGCCAGGTAGGGGGGGCAGCAGAGAAATGCAGGGGGAGGGGGGCGGGGAGGCGGAGGAGGGGATGGAGTTTAGGGGTTACCAGATGGCGCGCAGTGAGAGGAGTGGGGAAGAGATGGGCGGCAGTGAACCGCTCACGAATGATGGTGGTGACTGTGACGATTGTAGTGATGATGAGAATGTTGGTTTCCTGCTGCAGTGCAACTTCCAAGTAACTTCTGGTGTTACCAGTGGGTCCAGTGCTACCGTGTCAGCAGCAACGAAGACAGATAAGGCTAGAGCCACCACCAGTACCTTTCTCCAATCCTCCTCCTCCTCCTCCTCCTCCTCCTCCTCCTCCTCCTCCTCCTCCTCCTCCTCCTCCTCCTCCTCCTCCTCCTCCTCCTCCTCCTCTACCCAACCCCACCACTCTGCTTCACGTCTTCTCCTTAGCTCCTCCCTCTCCGCGCACCAATCACCAGCTCCCGCTTCCCACCAATCCCAGGGCGCCACGTCACCACAGCGCAGGCTGAGGCTGCTCCTCGCCATGCCGCGTCCCAAGGCCATGCGGCGCCTCTGGTGAGCCTGGAGGGTGCACGCTGAGGGGTTGAGAGCGGTGCGAGTGGCTTGAGGGGTCAGCAGTACGACTCAAGGGTCGAAGGCCATGCGGACGAGGGGTTGAGAGCGGTGAGATTGGTCAAAGCCTCTGGTGAGTGTGAAGGGGCAGGAGGCCTTGATGGGTGGGTGAGACTCCAGGGGACGAAGGGGACCTCCTGTTGGGCCCTGCTCCTCGCCATGCCGCGTCCAAAGGTCATGCGGCGCCTCTGGTGAGAGTGAGGGGGTGCAGGGCGAGGGGTTGAGAGCGGTGAGAGTGGTCAAAGCCCCTGATGAGTGTGAGGAGGTGCATTGTGAGGAGCAGCAGCCACAGCCTGCGATGTTGAGTGTGGGAGGGGACGAGGGCTTGAGGCCTTGGGTGCGAGCGGGCGTTGAGAGGGTGCGAGCGGGCGTTGAGAGGGTGCGCAAGGAAGCAGTGGAGCACTTGAATTCAGTGGGTTGTGTAATATTTGTTTCTGTAATCGAGCTTTTTCTGCTGCAATGGGATTCTTGTTATGCCATGAGCTGCACACACGCATGCATTCATGGATCATGCATGCATGTATGCTTCTATGCGCTTGCATGTGTGGTGTGCCCATGTGCATGTGTGTTTGGATGGGATATGCTGCTGCGTGCACGCATGGGTGTGAATGAGTGTGACGTCACAACAGAGCAGGTCTATTCTTGGGCAATTTGCCCTTCAGGAGTTGATGATTTGCAACGCTGCCCGGGTTGAAAGGTTCTATTTTGACAGCCAAGCGCTGCTGCCCGAGGTTGTTCGGCAGGAGCTGCTGATTGGTGCAGAGCAGGTGAGAGGGACGGATTGGATCATTGTACCAGACGCTTGATTTGTATGCGTGATAGAACGTTGGGAGACGCGCAGGAGCAGAGAAGGGTTCATGAGAGTCTTCACGTTTGACTCAGCTCAACAGTAGAAGGTTTCATGAGAGTCTTCACGTTTGACTCAGCTCAAAAGTAGAAGGTTTTGTCTGATTTCTCGCTCCTTTGGAGTAGTCTTTTGTGGGTGCTAACTTCGGGGGCGCCTCAGAACTTTCCGTGCACCAACATACCATGCAGTGCACCAACATACCATGCAGTGCATTGGATATCCTGAGCTGCCATTGGGCTTACACTGAGCTGCCATTGGGCTTACACTGAGCTGCCATTGGGCTTACACTGAGCTGCCATTGGGCTTACACTGAGCTGCCATTGGGCTTACACTGAGCTGCCATTGGGCTTACACTGAGCTGCCATTGGGCTTACACTGAGCTGCCATTGGGCTTACACTGAGCTGCCATTGGGCTTACACTGAGCTGCCATTGGGCTTACACTGAGCTGCCATTGGGCTTACACTGAGCTGCCATTGGGCTTACACTGAGCTGCCATTGGGCTTACACTGAGCTGCCATTGGGCTTACACTGAGCTGCCATTGGGCTTACACTGAGCTGCCATTGGGCTTACATCGAGCTGCCATTGGGCTTACATTGAGCTGCCATTGGGCTTACATTGAGCTGCAGCAGCAAGCTTCAATTCTGTGCACATGGTGTTGGGTCTAAATCACAGACTGGAATTACATCTGCCATGACTCAATCCTCCTGACACACTTGCTGCCACGTGCCCCCATCCAACAGGTCGGCGACACGCACCTTCCATCTGTGTCCGTTCATCTGCAGCTGAAGAAGCTTCTCTTCACCTTCCTCTTCCCGCACCTGGAATCTCTGGAGCGGCAGAGCCAGCTGAATCAATCAGCAGCTGTGCACAGCAGCCACGTGGACCAATCAGCAGCTTCAAACAGCAGCAGCTCGAGTCATGATCCCCCGTCTGTCACTCCGTGGGCTTCACCTCTTGCTCATACTCCTGCTGATGCACCTGCGGGTGCTCTTACTGAAGGACCTGTGGGTACCATCACAGTGACACCACCTCTCGTGCCTCCAGTCTCCACCGTTACTTTGCTGCTGCTCGCACACCCAGGGAGCGACACAGAAGGCGATGCAGAGGTGCAGAACGCAGCAGAGGGTGGTGGTGATGATGATGAGGGGGAGGCTCCTGCTGCAAGTGCAGTGGACGCTAGGGAGGGTACTGGCGGTGGAGGGAGGGGTGGAAGGTCAACAAGCATTCGTGAGGCAGTGGCAAGGCATGGTGAG